TTTCCCTCTTCTCTCTCATAATTCCTCACTTCCTGGCCAGGTTGGGCCACTCATGACCAGGCAGTAGGACAGGGCTTGGAGCAGCCTAGGCTGCAGGAAGGCAACCTGAGTAATTAATGAACCTCCCCAAAAATCAGCTCATGCCACCCTGACATTCCCAACTCTGACTCCACCTGAGTGTGCTGTGGGTGAGGAGCTGCTGTCACACAGTGAGGTGTGACTTGGAGAGGTTTGTTGGTTGAGGTGTTTGTCACTTAGAGGTGTCACTGAAGTGAATGTACTGAAACACATTGAAATACTTGATAAAGTGCATGAAATCAAGCCAGGCTCACATCGAATGTTCTGTTGGAAACATTACCCACCCACTTACCTTGTGAAGGAGCTGCAGTTGATTTTCACTCTATCCAAAGTCAAATTCCCTTCATAGCAAAGGGCAGGTGTCAGAAAGGTGTTTGGGAAGATGGAAAGTGGGTTGCACTCCAGCTCAGGGTGGTCACTGGCAGTGTCTGTAACCAGGGGCAGGTACGTGATGGCTGTGTCACTGACAGGGTTGGTGATGTACTCAGACACAGCGTTTGTGTGCTCCATCTCCTCCACCACCATCCTCTGGTAGAGGTCAGGAAGCTGCTGCTCATATCCCTCTCCATCTGCTGCACTGAGGAGTGGCTCATACCCTGTGTCCAGCCCAGAGCTGCTCTCCTGTGACCAGTCCCCATGTCCCCTGCTGCCAGCACTGCCCACGAGGAGCTTGTCCCCAGGGACTGTGAGATTGGACTGCATGAAAGCTTCTTCCACCAGGGTTGGTTCAGGCTCTTCAAAGCTGCCAGCAGTGGGCAGGAACAGGCTGGAGGGTGAGCTTGGCTCCACCTGTGCAGTGAGACAAGATGAATTCTGTGATGGACACCCTGGGACATCCTTCCCACAGCAGGACATCCTGCTGGAATGAAAGATCTCTGCATCTTCTTGTGTTTAATTTGCACATACATCCTCCAGCCTCACATGAGGATGGAGATTATCCACTGCCAGAGATTGCTGATGTGCTACTTTAGGGGATTACGGCCTTGCATGGATTCAATCCCTTTTTTTTATGAAACAGCTGGGATTAGAATGGGAAAACCCTTCAATTTACCTTGGTAGCCATGAAGGTCTTGGCACACATGGCATTAGCTGGGTCAGGAATGGATTTGCTCTCCCACTGGGGCAGGAGATTAGAGAGGAGAGAGTGGAATCTGCAAGGGGGATAAATGCAATTAAAGCATGAACAATGATACCTGCAGCATCCATGTGCTCCTTAGGCATGGCATTAACTGAGGAGCTTGGTGTGATCGTGGAGATGCCCTTGGAGAGACCTGCAAAGCCCCTGGCTGGGCAAGTTTAATTCCCAAGCATTGTATCCCTTCAGTTTGGTGTTTGTTGAAGCAGAACTAAACTCTGGGTTAAAAAATCACTTTATCAGCGGAATAAGAATCTATTTTAAAACTCACTGAGTATTTTTATTATCATTTGTGTACTCTGAAACCTTAATTCAGAACAATCCTCACTGTTGCCCAAGGTGTCCTGAGAGGACATGGCCATCCCATAGGACAAGGGAGAATGGTTTTGAACTGAAAGGAGTTTTAGTTAGATTAGATATTAGGAGGAAGTTCTTTACAATGGGCACTGGCACAGGTTGCCCAGAGCAGCTGTGGCTGCCCTGTCCCTGGGAGTGTTCCAGGCCAGGTTGGATGGGGCTTGGAGCAACCTGGGCTAGTGGGAGGTGTCCCTGCCCGAGGCATGGAGTGGGACTGAGTGATATATAAGATCCCTCCAACTCAAACCATCCCATGATTCTATCCCTTCTAACAACTACTTCAGCCTTATTGGAACATAGCAGATGGATCCACTCACCCTTTTCTTGCTGGAGGCACAGAACAAACACAGGCTGAGAAGATGAAGAAGCTGCAGGTAAGCACCACAGTGACCCAGCCCTCAGCACCTACGATACCGAGCACACAGCATTCATTAAAAGGGTTAAAACCACCCGAAATCTCTCTGTGATTCTATGAATAAACCTGCTGCCCTTCAACTCCTAGTGACTGTCTTGGCACAGAACTGGGAGCTTGAAGGCAAAGAAAGATGCTACAGCTTAAAACCAGCTGAAACTAGAAATGTTCAGCAATTGAAAAACTCAGGAGACCTCCAGTAGCTGAAGAACACCAGGTGATCTCCAGTAGCTGAAGAACACCAGGATAGCTTCAGCAACTGAAGAACACCTGGAGATCTCCAGTAACTGAAGAACACCAGGAGATCTTCAGCAATTAAAGAGGAACAGGAAAAATGTTTCCAGTCTATGGAAAAGAGATATCCAAGGGTGAGGACCCTCCTGGCCCCACCCTGGCCAGACTCATTACCTTCCAGGCAGACCTGCTGGCTGTTGCCCTTGGGCCCCTCGCCAGCATCCGTTGCTGCTGTCACCCACAGGTCGTAGTGCTCTCCAGGCTGCAGGTCTGTGAGGTGCAGAGAGCGTGGGGAGGTTGCATTGACAGTGGCTGGAGGGGAAAAAGGAGGAGGAAATTAAGTACCTGGCACAAGGGGGACTGAGCTCAGCTGGAGTGAAGGTCAGAATGAAATTAAGGCAAAAAGAAGTTGAAGAAGAAGAGGAATAATGGGGGAAGAGGAAGAAGAAGAGGAGGAGAAGGAGGAAAAAAACCTGAGGAAGAGGAGAAAGATGGACAAGAGGAGGAAAAGGGAGTAGAGGAAGAGGAAAGGAGAAGGCATAAAAATAAGGAAGAGGAAGAAGAATAAGGGGCAAGAGGGAGAAGAGGAAGATGAAGAAGAAAAGGAGGAATAAAAAATAAGGAGGAAGAAATATAAGGAGGAAGAGGAAGAAGAGGAGGAAGATGAAGAGGGGGAAGAGGAAGAAGAGAAGGAAAAAGGAGAAGGAAGAGGAAGAAGAATAAGGAGGAGATAATAAGAGGAGGAAGATGCAGAGAGAAATCTGATAGTTCCCCACTCAAAGTAACTTAGAATGACCTAACTAAAGACCTTCAGTAGTTAAAGATGAAGCTGAGCAGGAGAAGCATTCCCAGGCCCAGATACTCACCATAGACCCAAGGGTCTCCCTGCTTATCCTGCCTCTGCAGGTACACACGGTAGGCAGTGATGCAGCCTCTTTGCTGTTCAACAGGGATTTCCTCCCAGGAGACCAAGACACCGTTTGTCCATGGTGTCATGTACACCTGGGGCCCAGCTGATGGTGCTGCAAGACATAGCAGTGGCTTTTAGAGCTGAGCTTAAGGTAGCTTCAGAACATCTGGGAGAGCATTACTGTGATTTACCTTGAGCTGTGGAGTATCCCCTGAGTGATGTCACCTCTCCAGCTCTGCCCTGATAGAGAGCAAACACATGGATCTGGTAGCACATGTTGTCTTTGATGTGCTCTAGATAAAGAAATTAGAAGTGAAGAGTTACTTGTTCAAGGATTTGCAGTCATGGCTGAAGGATTTTGCTTCAGCTGCTTAAATCTGAGTTGGATCTTCTGATTAATAGATCTCTGTGATCTACTGAGCTTGGCAGAGCCTTCCTGGGCATTGAACTGAAAATTAGTGACTTTGCACTGCTAGAGGGCAAGGATAGATGGGATATTGGGAATTTCTGTCTGTGAGGGTGTTGAGGAACTGGCACAGGTTACCCCAAGCAGCTGTGGCTGCTCCATTGCTGGGAGTGTTCCAGGCTAGGTCAGATGAGGCTTGGAGCAACCTGGGCTAGTGTCCTGCCCATGGCAGGGGGTGGAACAAGGTGATCTATAAGATCTTTACTGTCCCAAACCATTCCATGATTCTATGGAACATACTGCTTTTTCCAGCTCATAAGAGTGGGGATATGAACACCTTGGAGGCACAGCAGCAGGACAGAGGATGGGGAAGACTAGGAAGAGTGACATGTCGTCACCTCTGTTGCAACTTCAGAGCTATCTTACACGTTGTACTGCTTGGGGTTAGTAACCAACAATTAGTAGAAAGGAAATAGTATTTTCTTAAGCCTTTGATCTCTGGCACCTTTAGCTGCTTGTTTCATGTTGGAGGCATCGGGTTTTTCAGACACCATTTGCTTATCAGATATAACCTCAGCTGGGAGAGGCTGCACAGCTGAGCCCTGAGCTGCCACCACTTTTCTTTTCTTCTATGCAGAAAGCTTTAAATGCCATAATTTCTTATGCTGAATTAGTAAAAATTATGGTATCATAGAATACCATACTGATATGGGTTGGAAGGACCTTAAAGTCCTTCTAATTCCACCCCCTTCCATGGGCAGGGACACCTCCCACTAGCCCAGGTTGCTCTAAGCCCCATCCAACTTGGCCTTGGAGGCCAAACTCAGATCTGACTTGTTCCTTAAACTACTTTTAAAGTAAGATGATACTTTGCTTGCATCCAGCCTCGAGGTGATAATTACCTGCTATCACTGCAGACCAGTTGGATGGTGGAAGCTTCACCCAGCTGTGTTGTGGCTCCACGTGTGGGTTCCTCTGTGTCTCTGCCCACTCCACCACGTAGCCACTGATGGGCACAGAGGACCTGATGGGAGGTCTCCATCTGACCAGGATACTGCTGTTGTCCATGTGCCCTGCAGAGACTTGCTGCGGAGGAGGTAGATCTTACAGGGGAGAAAGAGCCACCAAAGAAAAAAAACCCTTCATCAGCACAAACTTGATGTAAGTTCAGACAGAACCAGTAAGTTTGATCTATGGGTTTTCTTGGGTCTTATCCACTTTGGCAGTGTATGAAGGATAAAAATACACTGTAATTAAAAGGAAAGGTCATTATGGAAGGGTGATGGTTATGCTGATAGGAACAGAGTCTCATTCTTGTCTTGTCTCATGGTGTGCCAGCTTGAACAGCCACAGCACTGCTTGTGTGTGCCATCCCCTGCCCCTGAGAAGATGCTGTCACAGCACACTCTAGCCCCCTACTGCTGTGATGGAGCCACAGGGAAGGATATGGAGCTGCTGAAGCAAGTCCAGAGGGGGCACAGAGATGCTTCAAGGGCTGGAGCACCTCTGCTCTGGTGACAGGCTGAGGGTGTTCAGCCTGGAGAAGAGAAGGCTCCAAGTAGACCTCAAGGAAAAGTGGATCTGTACATCCCGAAAGACCCATTGAGATGGACCTTGATGAGCACAATGTGGTGGGACTAGAATGGTTCCAGTGTGTGGCACAAAGCAGAGCACTGGTGTTATTCCCAGCGGCCCAGAGCCAGCAGAAGACTTACCGAGGATGCCCTGGTGGGTCCGGATGGATGCAGGGGGGGACCTGCCCCGGGAGTTCTCAGCAGTAACTATTATGCTATAGTTCACCCTGGGTGTGACTAGGGAGTAGCTGGTTTGGGTGGTCTGGTGTGATTCTGCTGGGAGTTTCCCATGGTCCAGAGCTTCCAAGGTCACCGTGTACCTCAGGATTCTTCCTCCTGCCTCTGACTTGCTCAAAGCCTGTAAGGATTTGTCACTGTTTTCTGAAGTGCAAAGTCTGAAGGAAGCTGATGGCAAAGGCTGTCAGCTAGGAAAGCTGGAGAGGGGCTTTGGACAAGGGCCTGGAGGGACAGGACATAGGGAATTGCTTCCCAATGTCAGAGGGCTGGGATAGATGGGATATTGGGAAGGAATTGTTCCCTGTGAGGCTGCTGAGGCACTGGCACAGGTTGCCCAGAGCAGCTGCTCCATCCCTGGGAGTGTTCCAGGCCAGGTTGGATGGGGCTTGGAGCAACCTGGACTGGTGGGAGGTGTCCCTGCCCAGGGCAGGGGGGGGAACTAGATGGTCTTCAAGGTCCCTCCCACCTCAACACATTCCAGAATGTATCTTTTTCCATTTCCTTCCGGCTTAGTGAACTGGGAACTGCCAAACTTCAAAGCAGCAACATAGCTGGGGACAGAAAAAACACACAGCTTCCTCCTGCCCTGAGGCTGCATTCAAGCCACACTTTGCACAAAGGCAAGGAACAAAAGAACTGCAGTTGGATTTGCCAAAATGAGCAATTTTAGATTTGGAGGGAAAAAAACCCACACATTATATTTAAAGCCACAATAAAGAATTAGTAAAATTAAACCACTTAGAACACACCTCTCTGACCTTTCTCAGCTCTGTCTCTGCTGTCCCGTGTAACACCTCACCCTGGGTTTCCCCCAGGGTTCCTACAGTTGTGCTATTCAATTTCTTGCTGTTTCTATGTCACGGAAGTATTTATTTGGCTGGTTTTTGTCCTAACAAAAGCCTTTCAAGAGCAGGGAAATGTTTGCAGTGTAACAGGAGCTTTGGCAGTGGCTCAAGACAGACAGAATCATAGAATTACCAAGATTTGAGGAGATCTCTAAGTTCATCAAGTCCAACCCTTAACCAGATGCAATGCTGGAACCCCCCTGAAAGCCTGCTAAAATCGAATTTGCAACCCTTTCTTGGGTATTAGGCTAAAAATAAGAGTACTTCTCTTGGTAGAATGTTGTACTGAGGCTAAGTCCTTTGCTTTGTGGCTGTGATGAAAGCTAGAAAAGCAGCTTATTGCCCCTTTTTATGAATGATTCTGCAGGAAGTCAGTGCTGATAAAGTGCTGCAAGATAAAGACCTTCAAGTCAAATGTCTTAAAGCCACAATGTCTGGGGGCACGGAACCCCATGAGAATTTCTGCTTTCACTTGTAGCCTGGTGGTTCTTGGGGTGGGGAGGAGATATAACAGTGAATTTTTCACCTGACAACAGGGGTTTAATCTGAATTCTGTTGGATCTGTGCCCGAGGGGGTTCTGGCACTTTAGCTACAGGAGGTTCTGCTCACCAGACACAAACCATCAGCTCTTTTCCACTCTTTGTCCAGCTGCAGATCTGCATCTTTATTAACAAGTTGTGTGTGTGTTTTACCCCTCACCTGACCACAGCTGGAGAGAAAACCTCTCTCTTCCATCTCTACAACCTCATCCTTGACATCCATCCATCCATCCATCCATCCATCCATCCATCCATCCATCCACACAGCAGTGACTCCACAGGATCTTTTCCATGGCCCAAACTACATCCAGCTCTTAACTCTTTGAGAGTTTGGTCACCTTAAAGGGTTATTACACAAAATTGCCACTTTTGCCTCCCCTATTCTTCATTGTTCTGCTCTTCCTTTAGGGACATGGTTAGTGGTGGCTTTGGCAGAGATGAGGAAATGGTTGGACTTGATGGTCTTAGAGGGCTTTTCCAATCTCAATGATTCCATGAGTGATATAAACCAAAGTAAGCAGAAACACCTCTGGAGGTGGAGCCCAAGGAAATGCAGACACAGAAGATGTGTATGTATGGAGAACATAGGCTGTGATGGCCTCCCAGAGCATGTGTGGGAATGATGGCAAGCAACAATGAGGTGGAGAATGAGAAGAGGGAGATATGAATTAGAAAACAAATTAGGAAGTCTATGAGGTAGTTATTTGCTCCTTGTTCAGCCTGGAGAAGAGAAGACTCTTTAGAGAGACCTTAGAGCCCCTTCCAGTGCCTACAGGTGCACCAAGAGAGCTGCAGAGGGACTTGGGACAAGGGATGGTGGGACAGGACACAGGGAATGGCTTCCCACTGCCAGAGGGCAGGGATGGATGGGATATTGGGAAGGAATTCTTGGCTGTGAGGGTGCTGAGGCACTGGCACAGGTTGCCCAGAGCAGCTGTGGCTGCCCTGGCCCTGGGAGTGTTCCAGGCCAGGCTGGATGGGGCTTGGAGCAACCTGGGCTGGTGGAATGTGTCCCTGCTCAGGACAGGGATGGAATGAGCTGAGCTTTAAGGTCCTTCCAACCCAAACCAGTCTGGGATTCTATGAAATAACAGGTAGAGAAGTGTTTCTGCATCTTCCAGGGAGAAGAGTCTTGGTCCATGACCCTGTCCCTGGGCACTGGGAAGAGCCTTGTGCTTTCATGGTTTTCAGTCCTACCCTGCAAACACATAACTCAGAGTTCCCCCACTAACCTTGCTGATTATTTCTGCCTCTGCTGAGCTTTCTCTCAACTTACCTTCCAGAAGAGTGAGATATTCTGCTGCTGAGAGCTCACATCCTGCTGCTGGTACCAGACATCCAGGATCCCAGTTGGCACTGGTGTGGGAGGAAAAGAGAAGCAACATGAGTAGCTGTGCTTTGAAGTAAACAAGCAAGACATCAAGCAGGCAAAGGAGGTAAAAAATCCTCAGGCAATTACAATTTAAGCTTTAAAATGTCCCTGAAATGATGTAATATGTGATAGTTCATGTTTATTCTTGAGTTCATGTTGATGATGAGGATGATGAGAGCAAGCCATAAATCCAGAGAGGGCTTTGCTCTGCTGGTGACTTTCTCCTGCCCTCAGTAATTGAGATGGCTCCAAGGGGATCCACACATCAAAGGGACACTATTAGCTCGTCTTTGCATAAATTAGAGGCTCATTGAGGTCCTAGGGGTTGGCTACATCACTCCTAGAACAACAGGCAGCCTTGGATGTTTGGCATCTGTAGGACTTCGCTGTCTGGCTCTAAACAATAAATGTCTTCAATTGCTGAATAAGACCTCGTTGGAGGTAGCTTAAACCCCATGTGGAAGCAGCTTAAACCCTCGTTTCCTCAAATTCTTGTAGTCACAGACCAGAAACTTTCAATGTTTTGAATAAACCTCCCAAAATACCACTAAAATAAAGTTCTGCCTGGGGAATGGGCTCCAAAAATCCAGAGATACACATGTAAAGAAGACAAATGTGACAGGAGTTGATGGAGATCCTCAAGGTCCCTGACCAACATAAACACATCAAGTTTACATGTTAATTGCTGCTAATAGCTGGAGCAGGAGGCAGCTGATACACAGCCCAGTTAGAACACAGGTCTTTACTGGATTCAAAGGCAGAAAATCCCTCAGTGTCAGCAATATTCAGAGCTGTCTGTCTTGGATTAACTAAAAACAGTGACTGGATCAGAAACAAGAAGCAGGAGTGGTGGCAGAAACAAAACCAGAGCAGGAAGGGAGGAAGGGATGAGCTCAAGGCAGGAAAACTTGGATATGGTTTGCATCTGTTGGACCCCAGGGTGGATTTGAAAGGTCCAGAACTACATGAATTAGCTGGTGAAAAAAAGTTGTGTTCACTTCTGAGCAGCACTCACATAAAGCAAGTTTTGTGGCAGGTCAATCTAAAAGAAACAGCAAAAGGAATATCTCATTGAAAAGGTGTAATTCAGGATTTCCAACTAGCCAACTCATGTGAGAACTTCAGTTCCTCCAACAAAGTGCAACTATGATGTACTCAGAGGTTCTCATCTGCAACCACCCCTTGCTGTCACCACATCTGAGGACAGAAAGTGCTCCTTGATCAGCTAAACCCATTCCCGTTCTCATCGTGCAGCATGGGCTGGGTAGAAAGGTGATGACCACAAGTGCAGTAGCAAGTCAGGGTACAAGAAGAAGGTGGAGAAAACTGTTGAGAGGAAGGTGGGGGAGGGAAGGAAAAGTTCACATCTCTTCAATCAATGCTTCTTACAGAAACTGACCCTGTCGTGGGTAAATGGGATGAGTAAGAACAGCACAAGCCTTGAAGAGCTTGGAGTAATTCACACAAAAAGAGCAATGAAAGCCAAGTAGGAGATGACAGAATCACAGAATGCTTTGGGTTGGATGAGGCCTTAAAGATCATCTCATTCCAAGCCCTGTATCCTGTAGCTCTTCTAAGTGAGCTCTTGAAATTCCTTTGCAAGAAGCTCAACAGCTTCACCACTGCAATTCTCTTACAGAAGCTGCTTCTCTCTTGGCTCTGGATCTGGATTTACAGAGACTCTGCAAGCCAACCAGAAGCAACTTCAGTTCCTTAGCTGAAGTTTCCCCTTGGATGCCACCATTAGACCCATTAGTGCAGGAGATGATGTCCTCTGTTACCTCCTTCTGGAGAGCAGGTTTGGAATGTTCTCCAGTCACTCCACAGCCCTTGCTCAGGATGAATCTTACAGCTCGCCTGGAACTCATAGGCTGTGTAAGGCTCCAGCCCATGCAGATGGTATTTTTCACTGCTGAAGCTTTCAATCTGTAAGGACATAAAGAATATGTAATGTTAAACTCAGGGTGAAATAAAGGTTGAAGGCAGTGAGAGGCTGAATTGCAAATGCCCAAGCGAATCTCAGTCACAGTGCAGCTTTAAAACAATGGGGAAACCCTGAGCTGAGGCAGCTTTAATTAGCCAAAGAATGATCACTGAATCATCAGGCTTGCAGTGCTTCATCTGAAAAATCCCTCAGTTAATGATGAGACAGTAACCAAATCTCTGTTCACGTGATTTACTCAACTTCTATCAATGTGTCTCTGTCACCACTTAAAAGAAACTTCTGAGAATCCCAGACTGGTTTGGGTTGGACCTTTAAAGGTCATTCAGTCCCACCCCCTGCCATGGGCAGGGACACCTTCCACTAGCCCTGGTTGCTCCAAGCCCCATCCAGCCTGGCCTGGAACACTCCCAGGGACAGGGCAGCCACAGCTGCTCTGGGCAACCTGTGCCAGTGCCTCAGCACCCTCACAGCCAAGAAGTCCTTCCCAATATCCCATCCATCCCTGCCCTCTGGCAGTGGGAAGCCATTCCCTGTGTCCTGTCCCACCATCCCTTGTCCCAAGTCCCTCTGCAACTCTCTTGGTGCCCCTTTAGGCACTGGAAGGGGCTCTAAGGTCTCTCTAAGGAGTCTTCTCTTCTCCAGCAGGTCCATAACTTCCTTTATCCCAAAGAATATTACCATGCTCCAGGAGCTCCTGGTGAGGGGACGATATCTCAGCCTGTAGTGCTGTGCTGGTGCTTCATCATGCCAAAACAGGGTGCAGTTGGTTGCAGAAGTATTGTCAAATTCCACTGAGAAGTCAGGAGGATGTGGCTTCACTGGCAGCAAAACAGAGAGAAGCAAACAGAGTTCACCTCCACAACACAGCTCAGAACAGGGGTGGAACATACAAAGATTGGGTTACACTGGATGTTTTTTTCCAAGAAGTTTAAACAAAAATATGTTCTGAATGTTTCCAGGCCTTACCAAAGAGCTTAGGCTGACCAAAGGTGTTAAGTCATGCTTTACCTATGTCCATCAACGTGAAGTTGAGTGGCTGTGAGGAAGCACTTCCTAACTTATTGGAGGCAGTAACCACAATGGTGTAATTGGAGTCAAAATTCAACTTGCTCAGAGCCACTGAGCCAAAGGTTTGATTCACACTTTCTTCTGAAATGTGCAAGTCATCTGTTCCATTTGATAGTCTGAAACAGAAGGAAAATAGTTATTGCTCTTCTGTAGACCAAGAAAATCAACCCTGGGTGCATGGGAGCATGATTCCCTTCCCAAAAGAATGGCTTGGCATACCCTCTCTACCTCCTGGACATAGAAGGAGCCCAACCTGCTGTGCCACATGAGCAGAAAAGGGGTTTGAACTGCTCTGGGATGTAATTTGAGGTGTTAAATGACCCATGTCTCTGCATTACTTACCGAATTACATACATAGTGTGAATGTAGGTGAGGTTGCCTTTAGCCCAGGTGCAGGTGGGATATCCATCTGTCCCATACTGGATACATGACACATTTCTTGGCTCATCTGGAGGATCTTAAACAGATATTCCTATCAGAGTCTTAGAATCCCAGACTGGTTTGGGCTGGACACTTAAACCTCATCCAGTCCCAGCCCCTGGCATGGGCAGGGACACCTTCCACTAGATGAAGCTCCTCCAAGCCCCTTCCATTCAATGTTTTTTCCTTAAAGATGATGATAGGAGACATTTTAGGGAATGCTTGTAGGGGGAATGTTGCTTGCACTGTGCAGACAGTTTTATTTAGGATTTCTCCCTTTAGAAATAAGAGTTGCATAATTCTAGCCAGGAATATTTTGAGCCCCTCAAAGACAACACCTTCTCTTGGACAAGGCCACCCACTAACACATGGCTCAGAGGTGCCACAGGAAACACTTAAGAACCAGGAAGAACCAAGAATTCATGCTCCTTACTTCCACACTGGATATCGATTCCACAAATGAGCTTTTTCTTTTCTTCACACAGAGTTTTGCAGGTAAAGGTGTGTTTGCCATAGCTATGGACTAGAAAGGTTTTGCTTACTGAATACCCATGACTCTTAACTTGTTCAGAGTTGTTGAGGAAAATCAGTGTCCTGCACCCCCCGGAGCTGTGCAGGACTCCCAGGTGACAGGACAGGGTGACATTGGTCCCACGTTGGATAACAGGGGCAGTGTCAGCTGTCATGTTCCCTTTGGCACAGACTTCAGCAGTGCCATGAGGAGCTCTGCTGGCAGTCACAATGCCTTTCCTGCACACTCCTGCAACACAAGGGGATAGCCAACATTGAAGAGGAACACATCCACTTGTACAACATGTTGTCCTTTAAGGAGGAGTCTTCTCATGTTTCTAACACAAGAATTTCTGCCTCTGCATGATAACTCACGGGATATTGCTGTGTCCACTCTGATTAACTAGGAGCAGCAACCATGGGCTGTTACCAGGAACCAACAAACCAGCACAATGCTAGGCAAAACCTACCAGAACTCCTTTTTCATTGGGGTGTCAGTACAGCTGTGGCACACAGTGTGGGAAGGACATGGATCTGCTGGAGCAAGTCCAGTGCAGCCATGGAGATGCTCCAAGGATTGGAGCAGCTCTGTCACAGAGCCAGGCTGGGAGGGAATCCCTCCCTGTGAGGGTAGTGAGACACTGGCACAGGTTGCCCAGAGCAGCTGTGGCTGCTCCATCCCTCAAAGTGTTCCAGGTCAGGTTGGATGGGGTTTGGAGCAACCAGGGCTAGTGGAAGGTGTTCCTGCCCATGGCAGGGCATTGGAACTGGGTGGTCTTTAAGCTCCCTTCCAACCCAAATCATTCCTTGATTCTATGAAGGTGCTGGAGCACCATTTCTCTCTGCTCATGAGCTCTGCCCGTCTTGGTGGAAGCTCACTGTGGTGTTTTCTCACATAACCGACAGCTCTACCTTGAACTAAAGTAAATAACCTCCCTGCAAAGCTTATTAACAGCTCTTTGCTCTCCAGAAATAAACATGTTCACTAGCACTGCACGCAGAAGCTGGAAAACTGGGTGAGGTTCTTCTTTCAAGTGATAATTGCTCTGTAGGAAAACCAAATCTTACCTGCTGTGAAGTGCATCACCAACCAAACAGCTGCAGGCACAATCCATGCAAATGGCATTTTCCTCCCTGCAGAGAAATGAATTCCTGTTACCAGTTCCTAAAAAGTGATGGAATAGTTTACAGATTTTTGTATTTTACAACTTCAGAAAACCCCAAATGCTCATGAGATCTTCCCAATGAACATTCTTTGCTGATGATGCTAGTTATGAAGTGTCAAGTCCCTGAAGCAGCTGAAGGTTTTTAGATGGCTCTCCCTAGAGACAAGCACATCCCTGGAAGTGTTCCAGGCCAGGCTGGATGGGGCTTGGGGTATGGGAGAATGTCTGGTTGCTAACGGACATGTGAGCAATCCAGCCTTGCTAGCAGGGCCTGAGCAAGCTGCAAGCTAAGCTGTTCAAGGATGCTGCTGTGGTTGGAATGTGAGAAAGGAGGTAGCAAGATAAGCAGCTCCTGGCTGTGGGATGCAGAAGTTGAAGATAGTTAGGGGTGGAGAAGAATGGTTAAGCATTTTATGATTGATATGTAAATAACCAATTATGTTGTGTGTAAGGTGGGCTAGTAATAGTAGTTAACCAATGATAAGTGGGCGCTTATAATAGGTGTGTATAAAAGATTCACTTTTGTAAATAATAAAGGTTAGTCACAAGATATTCAAGAAGATGATAGTAGCGTTGCCTCTTTGTATGCAAACTCCTGCATTGGAGCACCCTGGGCTAGTGGCAGGTGCCCATGGCAGGGGGTGGGATAAGATGAGCTTTAAGGTTCTTCCAACACAAACCAGCCTGGGAGTCTATGAAATACACAGGAACTGATCTCATCTTGGGTGAATAACACGTTCTCAAGACTCATAGACCTTAGTATTACACACAAAATTCTAGATAAAACCTTGGAAACCAGGGAACTTGCAGTTTCTCAGAGTCCTTTCCCAAAGAAAACCCTCACACTGCTGGTTTATGCCCATTTCACTGCACTCTGATGCACAAAGCCACAGACTCACATTGAGCACATTGCTACCAATACAACCAAACCAACCAGCTCTAGGAATGGTCCAAACTCCCCAGGATTGCTCCAAAAATTAGGTTCAAATACAAACCTTTACCAGACTTACTAGATGAAACTAACTCTCCATTGCTTGAAGTTCTGAGCACAAATGTTTCACCCAAACTCTTCAACTCAGTCTGAAATGTGCTTAGGATTTTCCAATACTTTTTTAACAAATATTCCCTTTTTTACCCTTCTGCAGAATTTCAGGAGCAGTGGGAATATATTGGATACTTCAGAAGTGAATACACCAACAAGGCCTTTCTATATGTCCTGTCCTGTCACAGACCTGTAATGACTTGATGCCATACTGAAAACAAACTGGTTTGTTCCTAGTGCTATTACTTTACTACTAGTTTAATTCCTGGCTGCTTTTCATGCCAGCTTGGATGGAGAAGTACTTCCATGCAGAATATAGTCTTTGCCATGTGAATATTAATGGAAACCAACAAAACCAGGTCTTTCAGCTTGGGTTTAGGTAACGTGGTAGAAGCTACTCTGATGCCTGAGCTGAATTGGAAATGCATAAGATTTGCCAAAATGGAAATGAAAATAAATAAATTAGGTTTTTACTTTTAAGAAAACTTGTTTCATTTAAATTCAGATATTTCTCAGGCTGAAACATTCAGCCTTGCCACAGTGCCTAAGCTAGCCAAAGCCTCTGGTGTGGTGCCTTCTGGAGGTGATTAGTAACTGCCAAGATGAGCAATCACAGCACCAAAGCTCTTCAGGGAAATGCTCTGCCTTCCAATAAACTGAAATTGGCTGTTGAGTGTGTAAACAGACTTCAGACAGCTTCTTCTGACAGCAAAAACTACCCAAAATACCTGAGTCAACAGGCAAAACCAGACTTGCTTCAAGTGGTTTAGGTAGGGGAGTGTGAGGTGATGAGGCAGCGTAAACTGAGCAGAGTAAACTATGAGAAACAGATGAGAAACAACTTTGAGGGCAGGACAGAGATATATGGGGTGGGGGGAACGAAGGCGGAAAAAAACCATTATTTTTTTCCTCATATACTAATGTCTCTCATTAGTAGGACATCAATGTCCTACTAATGTCCTACTAATGTGAGAACATCAATAAGGGACATTAGTATATGGGGAGAATTAAGGAGGAAAAACTCATATTCCATATCAGTTAGGGACATTAGTATACGAGGGGGAAATCAAGGAGGAGAAAAACATATTCCACATCAATGAGGGACATTAGTATATGGGGAAAAAATTAAGGGGAAAAAATTAAGGAGAAAAAACATTTTGCATCAGTGAGGGGCATTAGTATATGGGGGGGAAATTAAGGAGGAAAAACTCATATTCCACATCAACAGGGCACATTTGTATTGCTGTGTGTAGGGTACAGAAATACAAGGACACTGTCCTGCAGTAGATGGTGGAGGAAGTAGAGGAGGTGTCTGCAGGGTACAAAGTTGTGTCTCTTTGTGCCCTTAGCTCGGAAATCTCAACTGAGAGCACCAATGCCACACAGTTTGTGACCCTGTGAATGTCCCCTAGTGACATTGGCTGTAGTTACAGCCCTTGAGCTCTGAAATGAAACCACTCAGCACAGGAGTTGGTTTTGAACCAACCTTTTATGGCCTTGTCCCCACTTCCCCCTAAAAAACGAAGAGCAAAAGCACATTCTAGGAACCCACAGGAACAATTGTCTGATTGCCGTGGAAAGAGGAACATCTCAGTCTTACATTTCACCCAGAAAATAGCACTATTTGTGCCCCAACTATTACATATTGCTCATAGCTACCACTGGCTGCATTTTTAGAGAGCTTGCTCCCACTCCAGCTTCCCAGACCTCATGAGGATGGCGGCATCTGGCTCATCCCACAGCCTTGGGGCTATCCTGCCTGAGCCCAGTGGCTCCTCACTAGGATTACTGAGTGCAGGGGATTTCATCAGCCCCCATGGTGTGAAGGAAAGAGCTATTCCTAGAGGATGGACCTTCAGTGCTGTGCTCCTTGGGTGGCTCCTTCCCAGGTGCAGGGAGTATCCTGGGAAAATGAACATTCCAAGGCAGGCAGTGGCCCAAGGTGAGCAGTATCCCAGGCAGTAGCATTCTGAGGCAGTAGCATCCCAGGGCAGGGAGAATCCTGGGTCAGGCAGCATTCCAGGGCAATAATATCCCGGGGCAAATAGCATCC